CGCGCCCTTACCCGCGGCTGAGCTCCTCTGCGCGTGGTCCTCACGCGCCGCCTCTCACCGGCGCGTGAGCACTGTTCCGATAGGCTTTTCCCGACTACTCCTGGACAGAACAACTCGCCTTCCTCCCCTCTTCTCAGATCTGGTCTTCGTTCGTTGTGGGTCTCGTCCGTTCAGAAGATATCAGTGATTCTTTGCTCTTCGTTCGTTGTTCATAGTGCTGGAACTCTTTTATTTAATTTTGCTTTATTTTTAATTTGATAATCTGTGTTTATCTGGTTATCTGGTCATCTTTATTTAATTTTTTCAATGGAGGGTACATCCAAAAACATTCCTGGAGTCATCTCCAGTACTACCCCATCCATTACAACAATGAAACTGACTGGATCGGCTACTTACAAGACCTGGTCTACCTCAGTTAAGATCTGGTTTACTGGTCAGGGGTACGGTCAACATCTCACAACTAATGTAAAAGACCAGGCATCTGAATGGGACAAGATTGATGCTCAACTGCTAAGTATCCTTTGGCAGTCCATTGATCGGACGCTTATAGACATTTTCATCTCCTTTGAGACCTGCTATGACGTATGGGAGGAAGCTAAAAACCTCTACACCAATGACATTCAGCAGCTTTATTCAATTGTGTCTCAGATAATGGAATTGCGCAAATCTCCAGAGTCTCGAATGGAAACTTATATTGGTAAGATTCGTTCTTTGATGCAAGAATTCTTAGCTATGTTACCTCATGCTGCAGATGCCTCTACATACAAGAAGCAGGTGGAACGCCTCTTTATGGTCGTAACCCTCTCCGGTCTTTCCGAGGAGTTAGAAAGTGTTCGTGAGAATATTCTAACCAGTGCTGAGACTCCTAGCCTGTCACACACTTTCCAGCGCCTTCTGAATCTCAAGGACAAATCAACAGCTTCCACACATGTGCCAGCTACCGATTCCACTGCATTCTTTTCTCGCTCCAATGATTCTTGGAACAGTGGACGCGGCCGCGGACGTGGCCGTGGACAGGGTGGCTGTGGACAGAGGCCTCATTGCAATTATTGCCAGAATCTTGGACATTTTGAAGAACGTTGCTACAGGAAGTACCCTCACTTGAAACCACCGACTGCCAACTATGCTCAGACTGATGTTACACCACCCTCTACCGGATCCGTTACTCTTTCGAATGCTGACAATGAGGCACTTCTCAAAAGGGGTTCCTCTCAGCCTCTTCCTCAAGACACTGGTAATTATGTTGCTTGTCTTTCTCAATCATCTCTTGGACCCTGGATAATAGACTCAGGTGCTACTAATCACCTTTGTGGTAATAAGGATCTCTTTACTTCACTTTCTTTTTCTAATAATATACCTTCAGTTACTCTTGCTGATGGCACTAAGGCCCCTGCTTGTGGAATTGGGCAAGCCAACCCAACTCCCTTTTTGACTTTGACCTCTGTTTATTATATACCTGGCATTCCCTTCAATTTAATCTCTGTTAGCCAGCTGATTCATTCTCTTTCATGCACTATTACCTTCTCTAAACAATCTTTTTCTATGCAGGATCCGGGTACGGGGAAGACGATTGGAACGGGCATTGAGTCACGAGGTCTCTACTATCTGACTGCACCACCTTCTCCAGTGGCATGCTCTCTCACGGAGTCTCCTGAATTAATCCACAGTCGTCTAGGTCATCCAAGTCTTCCCAAGCTTCAGCATATGGTTCCCTTTTTATCCAATCTTAAGTCTTTAAACTGTCAGTCTTGTCAGGAAGGAAAGCACACTCGCTTCTCCTTTGCTAATAGAGTCAATAGAAGAGCTGATGCTCCCTTTTCTATTGTTCATTTTGATATTTGGGGTCCAAGTCGAACTTTGTCTGTTTTGGGTTTTCAGTTTGTAACCTTTATTGATGATTTTTCTTGCTGTACTTGGGTTTATTTAATGAAAAACCATTCTAAATTATTTTCAATTTATCAAAATATTTGTGCTGAAATAAATACTCAATTTGGTCCTTATGTTAAGATATTGCGTAGTGATAATGCAAAAGAGTATGTGTCTCTTGATTTTTCTAATTTTTTGGCAAAACATGGAACGTTACACCAGACCACCTGTCCACACACTCCACAACAAAATGGAGTGGTTGAACGTAAAAATAGACATCTGGTTGAAACTGCGCGTACTCTTATAATTCATATGAATGTTCCACTCCGTTTTTGGGCAGATGCTATTATCACCTCTTGTTTTCTTATCAATCGCATGCCTTCCTCTGTGCTAAATAATGAAGTTCCACATAGTGTATTATTTCCAGGAGCACATTCCTATTCTCTGCCTCCACATATATTTGGATGTACTTGCTTTGTTCACGATCTTACTCCAGGAAAAGACAAATTAACATCCAAAGCCTTCAAGTGTATTTTTCTTGGATATACTCGTTTTCAAAAAGGGTATCGTTGTTATTCTCCTGACCTCAAGCGTTATATTGTTTCTGCTAATGTCACTTTTCTTGATCAACAACCTTTTCATTCTATCCCGTCTCAGATATCCCAGGTTGATCAGGTTCTTCCTGTTCCGTTTCTTGACTTATCTTTACCAGCTGCAGAAGACTCTATCCCAGAGGAGCAACCTCTTGCCTCCATCCCAGAAGACCGCCCTTTTTCTCACCTATCAACGTCGTCAGCCTGCGCCTCCTGCGGACTTGACCCTTGCTGACTCATCGCCTTCTCCTGTCGACTCTTCCCCTCTGGATCCTCCATCAGATATTACTCCCATTGCCCTTCGTAAAGGTATTCGATCCACTCATAACCCTCATCCACTTTATAGTTTTTTGAGTTATGATAGACTTTCTTCACCACATTTTACTTTTGTTTCTAGTATTTCGTCTATTTCCATTCCTAAAACCACAGGTGAAGTACTTTCTCATCCAGGTTGGCGACAGGCGATGATTGATGAAATGCAAGCACTTCACTCCAATGGAACATGGGATCTTGTTCGTGCTCCTCCTGAGAAGTCGATTGTCGGTTGTCGATGGGTATTCACAGTCAAAGTTAGTCCTGATGGCACTATTGATCGCCTCAAAGATCGATTAGTGGCTAAGGAATACACTCAGATTTTTGGTCTTGACTATGGGGATACTTTTTCTCCTGTTGCCAAGATGGCCTCTGTTCGTCTTTTTCTTGCACTTGCCGCCATTCATCACTGGCCCCTTCTTCAGCTTGATATAAAAAATGCCTTCTTACATGGTGACTTGCAGGAGGAAGTATATATGGAGCAACCACCAGGATTTGTTGCTCAGGGGGAGAGTTCTGGCATGGTATGTAAGCTTCGTAAATCTTTATATGGCCTGAAGCAGTCTCCTCGGGCCTGATTTAGTCGCTTCAGTTCTGCAGTTCAATCCTTCGGTTTAACCCGCAGTAAAGCAGATCATTCTGTCTTCTATCGGCATAGCTCTTCTGGACAGTGCATCTGTCTCTTGGTCTATGTTGATGATATCATTATTACTGGGAGCGATCAAGCTGGGATTGATCAGTTAAAGAAGTATTTATTCAATCAGTTTTAGACCAAAGATCTTGGCAAACTTCGATATATCTTAGGAATCGAAGTAGCACAGTCTAGACAAGGCATTTCCATTTGTCAGAGGAAGTATGCACTCGATATCTTAGATGAGACTGATATGTTGGGATATAAACTCATTGATACACCTATGGATCCTAATATTAAGCTATTACCTGGACAGGGGGAGCCATTGGCAGACCCTGGTCGTTACCGTCGACTAGTTGAAAAGTTGAACTATCTTACTGTGACGAGACCAGACATCTCTTTTTCAGTTAGCGTGGCAAGTAAATTCCTTGACTCTCCTTGTGACTCTCATTGGGATGCAGTTATCAGGATTTTTCGATATATTAAAAAGGCACCAGGAAGAGGTTTATTATACACTAGTAAAGGGAATGAAGAAGTGTCTAGCTATTCAGATGCTGACTGGGCAGGTTCTCCTTCAGACAGACGATCCACCTCGGGGTATTGTGTTCTCATCGGAGGAAATTTGATATCTTGGAAGAGTAAGAAGCAAACTGTGGTCGCTAGATCAAGTGCAGAGGCAGAATATCGGGCGATGGGAAATGCAACCTGTGAGCTCATATGGCTAAAACAATTGCTCAAGAAATTACATCTCTGTGAACAACGGCTCATGAAACTCATTTGTGATAATCAAGCCGCATTGCACATATCCTCTAACCCAGTCTTTCATGAGAGGACTAAACATATAGAAATTGACTGTCACTTTGTTAGAGAGAAGATTCAATCAGGCGAGATCGAGATAGCATTTGTCAATTCCAGTGATCAACTTGCAGATGTTTTTACCAAGGCTCTTAGAGGTCCTCGAATAGATCATATATGTAACAAGCTGGGAGCTTATGATATATATGCACCAGCTTGAGGGGGAGTGTTAGAAATATTAGATATGATATGATTAGATTAGATTTGATTAGATTTGAATAGATTACTTCTTATCTGTAAATATTCTGGGCTTCTCACTTAAGCCCATTATGGTTTCTATATATTGTAACTCTTTGTATTAGAACAATACACAATTGAATACAATTTTATTCATTCTTACTTTCAAGTGCTTGCACGTTGGGAACTCTAACCAAGCTTTTCAAGTATTCAATTATCATTGTATGTGGCATTTGCTTTAAAATATATTGATGTTTCCAAATATATTGAGAACTTAGATAATTATTTTTGTTCTCCTCAAAATTAAATTCCAAAAATACTTTTAAGTTTCCTTGAAATGAAAAGACGTCCTTTCTTTGCAGAAATGAAGTTGCAATACAAACCTATCCACCCCACTTGAATTTTGGCATATGTTCTTACCATTTGATGCTTTTCACTTTCTTTTTCTCCCCTCTATGTTCAAGCATGATGCTTTGATTTCCAATATGGAGCAAGACAGACTACCGTTACATGTTCAGTCCATTTGATAATTAACTGAAATCTTAATTTTTGCAAATCTCATGCAGGTAAAAATTATTGGATATGCAGCATCAGGTGGTGGCAGAGGCATTGAGAGAGTTGATGTGTCTGTTGATGGAGGCAAAACTTGGATGGAAGCCTCAAGATTTCAGAAAAGTGGCGTTCCCTATTTACCAGATGATGCCAACAGTGATAAATGGGCATGGGTGCTATTTGAGGTCACAGCTGATATTCTTCACAGCACTGAGATTATTGCAAAAGCGGTATGTCACATCACATATCTTCTAATTGTCATAAATCTTGTTTCTTGTCTTACGAAACTAACAATATATTCAGATAGAGCAAATCTGTTCTGATGTATCATGTAAGAACACGAGGATAGGATATGTTCATATTGGTCATTAAAATTATGAACTGGTTAAAAGTGTTTATCTATTCCGTATTAGCTGCTTTATGAATGGAATGAAACGTTGTCCTATGAATGTGTTAGAGATATATAAAACCATTAATGTAGCCTCATCTAAGAGCTTAAGCTTTTGGGTTGAATTGGTTCTTTATATGGTATCAGAGCTCAGTGTCACGGGTTCGATCCTCACCGCCTCCATTTAATTAATAATTAATTAAGTAGTGTGAAGTTTCTTAGCACAGATAGGCTGGGCCTGATGCATCATCCACCCTTCAAGTCCAATGGGCTCTCGTGTGACGGGACGTGTTAGAGATATATAAAACCATTAATGTAACCTTATCCAAGAGCTAAAGTTGTTGGGTTGAATTGGTTCTTTACAGAATGGAATGAAATGTTGTCCACTTTTCAATGGGTGTGTAGCATAATGCATAAGCAATAGAATCCATTGGTTGCCTTGACCCTTCTGTGCCTTTTAAATAATATCTCCAAGCTTTGTCATATCAAGAGCTTCCTTATAGATTACATAATTGAGGAGAAGAAATTGACATGTTACGGAACTTGTTCTAGACCGGCCTTGCCCAGCCAGTCCAAATGGTTGTCCGGCAAGGTCATCACCACTTAGCACGTGGAGTATTTGACTTTCTTGTACACATGTCTCCTCACATTTCTCACGCACGCATGACCTTTACACATTAGAGTTCACGCATCCTCACACTATAGTGGGGCCCATAAGGCTTAAAACAGTTATGGCATCACACTTTAAATGCTAGGAGGGAATCTCCACCTCCTATATATAGAGGCCTCTGCCTCACTTCAAATTCATCTTCTCCATCGCATACCTTCATTGCTACTCTACTGAAATCACTCCCCAAGCTATAACCGAGCCCAAAAACACCTCCCCCTTTTACCTTCACCTAGCTTGAGGCCAGCACGGTGACTCTCTGGAGCTTTGGTCCATGCCACTCCCTCTCTTGTCTCCGTTAGATCAACATACTTCACCCCTACAGGATACAGACCCCCATTCTCACTCTCAGACAAGTTCAGAACTCAAATATAATTCATATGAATTTTGAGAGCCAGATGCATGAACTGAATCCCTGTGAACTTTGGAACATATAGAAACACTGCATGATTTGTTAGAGAAGCCAAAATGCAGGAGGAAGAATAGTTGAGCTTAATAAAGAAGGTTCTATTTTCGATCAATTCTTGGTATGTAGACAAACATGGGAAGCTGAAATTATTAGAATAAGAATCCCTCTTTTTTTGGTTATGATAAAGAATGAGGAGAAATGGTAATTCTTTTTCATAACTATCATATATACTCTCTAACTTCAGAAATATGTTGGGCTTACTTTCAATTCATATGACTAAATAAATTGGAAAAATGACCATAGCCTTTTAAGGTTTGATGCTGCATGGTTTAAAATTCTTATTGATGGACATTCTTACTTTCTCCACTTTCACTACCTTGGAAAGTATAAAACAATTGTCACTCTTATTCAAAATTTATTACCTTTAACTCCACTTCTATTTCCTATCAAATAAACAATTCATCTACAAGTGGGTTCATTTGCATTATGGTTCAGAGAGATCACCTCTCTAATTGAGTTGGGAATCTTTTTGTAACATCTGTTTAAATAATTAATACCTTTGGCTAATTTGCAGGTAGATTCAGCTGCAAATGTTCAACCTGAAAAGGTTGAAGACATTTGGAACCTCCGAGGGATATTAAACACTTCATGGCATCGAGTACAAGTTCAAGCAAGTCGCTCAAACTTATAAAAGTAGTACCAATTTTCAAGTCAAGCCTTTATGACCCTTATGCTTCCAACTTTAATGTTTGGTTGTTTTTGAAGCTTCTTACTGAACAGGCATCGCCATCAGCTGTATAAAATTTTTTTATATAAATGAACCACGGGGAAGAGGTTATAAGTTACTTTGGGTATTTTTAATATGTTTTTGTTTTTAAAAACTGTTTTGAATATAAATTTTGAAAATTGATTTTGAAAGTAGAAGAAAAATATAACTTGTTTGAATATGGTTGGATTTAGAATTATACAGAAGTTATATTTATTTAAAAAATACTAGTAATGAACTTTTATAATTATAAGATTGTCACCGTAAAATAATTTATAATTAAAAAATATGAATTTATTTAAAAAAATGTTATTAATAAATCCTCGTAATTGTAAAATTATCACCGCGAAAATAATAAAATAAAAAATCATGACACTGGCACTTCAAATTATGCCAACATTGTATCCTCGAACCTTCAGATTTAGCATTTAGGCATTTGATTTATTATTATTGGAAAAAAATTACTGTTTTGTTGTCTGAGATAAAGATTGACATAAATTTGGTCACTGAAAGATAGTTGGCAAGGCAATAATGTAGTACTTAAAACATAAAAAATGACATTTTGTTGGTCCTACTGTTAAGACACCTTCTAATAGAGTCTTACATGGCATGTTGTATGTTGGTCCCTCACCGCAAACAAACTTGCTTGTAAACTTCTCCTTCTCTAGCTGAAATTCATGATTTTGGGGTTTTATATTTGTTGAGTTTTCAAATGGGATTAGGGTTCTGTTCAATTTTGGAGATTGAATTTGTTGAAGTAGACATCTACATGGATGCCACGGTAGTAATAATTGTGACAAGAACATTATGGAACAATATAGTCAAAATCGAGTTTCTACGTAAAAACAGAAGAGAGTAATAGAAACGCAATTAGTAGAAACGAGACAAAAACGTAAAGTTTTTACTACTTAAGGTTAAGATACAAAATTATATATATATATATATATATATATATGTATGAGTTATATATCTATTATATTATAGGAAAAACACTATTCAATCCAGCAGACACTGAAAAATAAGAGAGAGAAACTAAGATGAGGAAAAAAAACAATAATTGTTTGTATTCAAAAAAAAAAAAAAACAATAATTGTGGACCCGCGTCTTGATTGTTTGTGCAGGAAATCAATTTTTGTTGTTGTTGCATGATAGATACATATCCTTATATATATATATATATGCATGTAAAAAAAAAATTCACATAAGTCACTCCTCGAAATTTAATAAATAACTTCATATTTAAAAGATATAACTCACATAACTATATAAGATATAAGTCCAAAAACATTAAAAGAGAAAATTGAATTTAAAAAAATGAAAAATAGGTTTTTTTAAAAACAAAAAACAAAAAAATTGAGTTAAGTAAAAACGGTAAAAAAACGTAAAAACTTGCATTTCCACCGTTTCTACATGGTATTTTTACCCGTTTCTACTTATATTTTTACATTATGTTTTTACCGTTTTTAAATTTTTAGACTAGTTTTTGACAATAATGCTACGGAGAAACATGATTTCTCTTTATATGTTTCAGTAGTAAATTGAAAATTGATGTAACGACTCTTATATGTGAGTTAATATGATGATGTTATATAAGGAGATTTTGATACTTCATGAACAGATATCAGTCCTATCTTTCAAGAACCAAAATGTTTATATTATTATTATGAGAAAAATGTTTATCCTTTTAAATGACACAACTTATATCATTTCACTCTTACAAAGAGGTGGGATCCACACCTTTATTTTATTTTTTTGTCAACTCTCTCTCTCTCTTTATTTATCTTTTTCTCTCTCTTAAAATGACACAACTTTACATCCTTTAAAATGACACATATTTTATCCTATTATTATTACTAGGCCATTACATGTCACAAACCGCAAGGATCTAGAAAAAGGGAAATTATCATTTAGTTTGATTTTGATTTATCTATATTATTATTGCGTAGAGTTATTTTAGTTTGATTTTGATGAATTATCAATATAAAAAAAGGGAAATTCAATTCTTATGTTACAGAAATCAGAAATCATTTTCCTGCTGACCCATGGACAAACGTATCATATTATTTGTGTTTTTTTTTCAAAAAAAAATAATAATGGATCTCATGAAGAATTGTGTATGCAAGAATCTAATTTTTTTTCTGTTGCCACAGTAGAGACTTAATCCCCATAAAAAAAATTACATTAAAACTAATGATGTGAACGTACTATTGGATTGGATGACATCATTTTTTTTATACACAAGAAATGACGCAAGTTATGTTATTTCATAAATATAAAGATGTGTGGTCCCACTGAAAAAAATAAAAATATGGGTCTCACCACTTTGTGTTTATGAAATGACACAACTTGTGTCATTTAAAATGAAACACACTTTTCCTTTATTCTTATATCTTTTACCTTTAAAACAGTGTTACAAAAATCGGACCAAAACGGACAATTCGAACTGGAAACCAGTAAATCGGTCATGTGACCGGTCCGGATAGAGTAATAGATCGGAGATGTAGTGCGAATCGGAGTGAACCAGCCGATTTTACTAAAATCAGTGACTCGCTGAGTCAGAAAAAAAACACTTGTTTGAAATGAAACCAAACAGTGTAGATTAGGGGTGTGCAAAATAATCAAAAAACTGAACCGAACCATGAACCGAACCGAACCGCCCTTAAAATAATCGATTTTTAAAAATCAGTTCATGAACCGAACCGGTTTTTAAAGAACCAGTTCATGAACCGAACTAGTTTTTAGAACCAATTTAAGAACCGAATCGTTTTCAAACCGAACCAAATTGATTTTTATAACTTTATTTTTTTAATCTTTAATTTTTTTTCTTTTCAAAAGAGGGTCAACCCGAACCGGTTCCGAACCGAACCGTTTTCAACCGAACCGAACCAGTTTTGAATCGAACCAAACCATTTAAACCAATTCGGTTCGATTTTTCAAAAAATCCGGTTCGGTGCGACCCATGCACATCCCTAGTGTAGACAAAGAGAAGGAGAAGGAGGAGTCGAAGACGATGAAGAAGAAGGAGTCGAAGACATCAAAAAAAGTATCAGCATAATGTCAAAGGGCCATTGAAGAGAAGACATAATGAAAGAGAGAGAAATTGAAATTTCAAAAGCTTGCGCAAGAGAAAGAGAAAACGAGAGAGAGAGACTTGCGCAATAAAATCACAAAATCATGGGCAGGTTTTACTTTTTAGTTTCTGGTTTCATTTGGGCCACTCATTTCTTATTTATATCCTCTTCTTTTTTAATTTTTTTATTATTTAAATTTATAATTCTTTATTTCTATTATTTTTACTTTCTTTATTACAATGGGTACTCCGTTTGTGTTTTTTTTATTTTGATGCCATAAATAATTATTTCAAGTCATAATTTTAAAAAAAAATTGAAATATGAAATAAAAATTTTAAATTTATATATATTTATCTGGTTCAAGCAGTTGAATCAGTAACCAACTGATTGAAGTGGTGATCCGCTGACCCAATACCTCAACCGATTCGATCAACAGGCCGGGTCTGATAACATTGCTTTAAATAATCATTTCAATTCAATAATTTAAGTTGTTAGGTAAAGATTATAGTAATAATTTTATATTATATTTCTCTAATACACTCCTCGTACAAGAGTTCATTAGGTTTGAAAGACATACAATACACGAATTCAATTACTTATATTAAGAAACTCTATATTATTTAATAATATATTAATAAAAAGGAGACCATCAAGATCAAATCCATAACCACTTGGTTATAAATCCTTCAGTACTATATAAATAACTATTTCAACTCAAAAACTTTAGATATTAGGTGAATGTCATATTAATAATTTTAAATTATATTTCTTTAACATTAATTACTAAAATAAAAAAATAACACAAACGAGGGAAAAATAAGATATATAATACATAATAAACCTAACAGAAAAATTGTTCTAGAAAAATTAAGAACTCTGTACAATTTTATTTTTTATTTTATTTTATTTTTTTCTTTTTTAGGGTAGTTGAATCCCACCAACACCATCTGGGGAGGGGCATAAGTACCGTAATTCTTGGACTCGCACCCGAACTCTGAATTAGTCCCATAGGCGGCTCAAAGAGTCGAACCGTGAGGATACCAGAAAATTTTAATTCGCCTCAAAGAGGTAATAGGATCAGTTACCAAAAGAAAAAGTTATTTATGTATTATCAAAATGTGAAATATCATATATATTTTTATTTGGGCTGTTCCGGATTAATGATGGGCTTCTTAGGAACCCAAAACCCATGGCCCACACTCCATTGTCTTTCAACTTCGTTTCGTGCCCTATGCTACTTCTCACATCACTGCACTGCTTCGTTGATCTTTGAGTGGTTCTGTCAAGCAAAGTAGAAAACATTCAAACTGGTAACTTTTCGAAATTCCCCTTCTTTTTTGTTTCGATAGCATTTTCATCTTATTTATTAGTATCTGCAAACTGCATTTCTACATATAAAACATATATTTATACACAAAATGAATAGAAGGCTATGATATTGCAAATGTTTTAATATCTATTTTATTTTATTTTTGGAATTAACAGGTATCTTTTGGAAGATGAATAGTGTTATTAGAGGTGCACTAAGATCCAAGTCTAGTGTTTGTGCACTTCAGAGAAGTCATGGCCTCCCAATATATTTGGAACAATTGGGGAGATGCTTCTCCACTGAAGCAGAACACCCACCACAGAATTCAACTGCCCCACCTCAATTTTTTCGAACTGACAATTCAGGTATACCCCCCATTTTATGCATTTCTCCCAATCTTCAAGTTCCCTTAGTTTTTATGAAATATCAAATTTTTTAATTAATTAATTAATTATTATTATTATTATCATGGGCTCGATGTTTATCATTTTAAATGACAAAAGTTATGTCATTTTAGGAGAGAGATAGACACAAGAAATGAAAATCACAGGAGAGAAAGTGCATGTTTTTTTTATTTTAAATTTTAAATAAAAAAATATTATTTTGTGTCTATCTCTCTTTTTAAATGATATAACTTTATGTAATTTAAAATGACAAACACTTTTCCCTAATATTATTGAGCATGCAGCATAGATAAAGATGTTTCTTTGCGATCTTGTCAATGAAAGGTCAAGAATTCGATTATGGAAAATAGACTCTTTGCAAATATATAAGGATAAGGCTGAAGGATTGCAATAACCCCTATTCTCGCCGGTGGAGATTTGGGGGGGAGTGATTTTTATTATTATTTCATTGAGGACGACCCTTGGAGCAATTATAAGGTTGCTCCTTTTTAACCGGTATGATGTTCCTTGTTTTTATGAGGGTAAGAAGGTAAGAGTACCTTTAGGGTGTGTTTGGGAGTTTGGAGGGAAGGGAATCCAAGTTGGAAGGGAAGGAAAATGAAGGGTATTATTTTCTCCCTTTCTTGGGAGTTAAAAATCCTCCTCAAACCCCCCAAATTGGGGGAACTCTAATTTTAAGGGTGAGAAGGGTTTTGGAGGGTTTTACAAAAATGCCCAATTTTTTTAAGCTCTCAAACAAGAGGAAAGCATAAGTAAAACCTTCCCCTTCCTTCCCTTCCCCTCCTAATAGTGACTCTCAAACACACCTTTTGGATATGTTAGGAAGGAGGAGTTTGGAGGGAAATGATAGGGTGGGCATTAATTTTTTTAAAAAGATGATGAATACAATTTGAAATCATCATGTAAGCTTCTAATCATCACATGATGTGTATTTTTATAAACTTGTTATTACTCAATTTAGCAATAAAAGAATTGACCCTCCCCTCACTTACTCTTAGCATTTAGTTGCCATTTTGTAGCCATGTATCCTATTTAATTTAATTGAAATATAAATACATAAATAACTTGCTGTATTTTATATTTTCAAGTAAGTGAATACCCAGCTAAATATTGGCCACTAATTGCTAAGGAATAATAGACAAACCTCATTATTATTATTATTGTTGGTGTTTTAAATTTTTCCCCTTATGGTGTATTACTGTTAACACTTCACACTTTGTTATTAGTTTGAGTAATTTCCGTTCAAGGTGATGACTTTGCTCCTCTCTCTTTCTCTCCTTAGGCTTGACATATGCTAGGCTGACTTGCACTCCGAGCGGCATTCGTAAATATATGCTGAAAACAGATATCATCCACTTCCTTGAGAGTTGCAAATTGACTCTGGAGGATGTTAAAGTCGATTACAACCGTAGCTTTTTTCCAGTTGCAATGTAATGTTTTATTTCTTTTGTCTTGTTTTGAGGGAATTGTGAAAGTTTTAGCATTGTGGCATAGAAGTATAATCAGTTGCATTTCTTGCCTATCAAAGTGAATGGCGTCTTTTATTACTTTAGAAGATATTTGGGAGAACAAAAGGGAAAGGTCAATTCCAATTTTTAATCTTTCATTACATGTCATGAAATGTATGATTTTATTATACTCATCCTGTGATAGGAACCCTGGTATATCATTTAAAGGAAAGTGGAAATAATCCCAATTACAGAGGTAGAATCATAAAACAGAAAAAGGAAAAGTTAAAAGACACTGCATTTCTCAGGGTCTGCTAGCCTCCCTTCCCAAACCTTACCGAAATCTTGCCTACCTCTTTCCTTCCCTCTCTCCCTTTTCATTCAACTGATTTCGTTCTCCTTTATTCTCTCATCTAACACATCAACATGCTGTTATGCCCCTAGTTCATCAATGTTACTCTTCCCATATGGTCTAGCATGGGGGTATCTAACATCCTGCGAGTGGGTTATTATTTGTATTTGACCGAATGTGCTTCATCTTAGACTGTACACTTGAAGAATATCATTTAAATTGAAGTTTTGGCTATCATCAGGATGTTGCAATTCCCTTCTCGCAATGCCTATGACAAAGCTATAAAGGAGATTGTAGCGAAGGGTCGCCTGTACAAATTGGAAATGGTATGCTGCTCTACATATATCTGTTGCAAAAAAATAAAAAATAAAAAGTTTTATGTTTGTTTATATGTGGCAAATATTTGATTTTTCATTTCTTCTCACTGGCATCAGGCTAGTCGTGACCAATGGGACTATGTAACTCCATATGATGGAAAAACTGTAAGTATAAATTCATACCTATTTTTGCTTTTCTTGTTTATAGAAGAAAGACAAAGTAGTTATTCTTTGATTCATATGTTTGAAATGACCAAATGATGAAATTGTGAGAGGCCCATAAATGCCTTGGTATCAAAAGAATTTTTATCAACGTTATCAAATCGCAATTCAAATCAGGGATACAATGAAAATGCCATAAAATATCATATAAATGATGCATATTTGCTTAATGTTATAATTTTAAATTAGGAACTAGAAATTGAGAAAGCAACTTAAACTATAAGTCTCACAAAACAAAACATAAGTCATAACTGAGTCACATAAAGTGACTACACTAAGCATATGTTTCGGAAGAACCAAACGCAGAGCAATGATATAGCTAAATAAGGTGCATATAGAGTGAGCGGGTGGTTGTGTGAAACCTCCTGTTTCAGAAGAATGAAAATAGGGCAATGAAATCACAAATAAGGTGCATTCAATAACCCTGCTTTAGTTCCTTCTTATTTAACAACTTAAACTTATTTGACTTTCCAATTTCTTTTATGAGAATTTGGGGGGGGGGGGGGGGGGGGGGGGCGGGGGCAAAAAAGAAAAAAAGAGTTGGTGAATCATGGGATTTGTATCAATGGTATGCAATAGTACCGATAAGTGCGTGTATGGAACTAATGTCTCTACTCTTTTCAGAAAGATTATATAAAAAAGTTGTATTTAGGATATTTTGAATGAGTAAAATAGAGAGTATGATGTAATGCAGTTTTTTTTTTCAGAACCATAAGATGTATTGTATAGCTTGATTTACAAATAATTATTGATCATATGATTTGGAGGTAAAAAAATATTAATTTCTAAAAATCTTACATAAGTCCTATGTGCATTACATTACATTACATAAGATCTATGTTAGTAGTTAGAATACTTTTTTTGTTATTATTCCCCCCGGATGAATGGAAAATGTTGAACATTGATTGATTTTGTTGACTTATTAATGTTTATTTCGCGCATTAATTCTTTGGAATTAAATTACCAAAGTAAAAGAGACACAGAGAAAGTTATTATGTTGAATGAGCAAAGACAGGAAAATAAGAAGAGTTATTCATGTCTACGAATCTGACATATGGACTGTTCTGGTACCTGCAACTGGTACATTTTCTCCCCTTCAGATTCTGAAGATTATTAATGTTATAGGGAGGATTAAGAAAAGCACATTCTGACACATGGACATTCCTATTACCTGATACTATCTAGAGTCAGGACCAAGCTGTATGAGGCATTGCAATCTAATGCATGCTCATGGTCATGACCTTAACTGCATCATAGATGAAGAATGTCATTTAGAATGACAATGTTTTGGGATGCCTTGTAGCACATGATTTTAAGAATACTTTGTTAATAAAAGAAAGGTGTGAGTCTGATAATAGCTGGCCACTTATGATATGCTGGGAGGCCTACGTGGCAGGCCAATGTATCAAAAGTTCTTCTAAGGTTCTAAGTTTACATTCTTAACCTTCCTTGTAAGAACAACATAGCAGTGCGAGCGTGTGAGGTTACTTGATCAAATTGTTTCAGTTTATTCACAACTTTATATAATCAGCAGATTACTTAGATTTTTGGTATAGATGGACTAAGATTTCGGTTGGATGCCTTAAAAGATTTAGAAATTGGTGTTACGCTTCCATTTATCATTGATATTTGTATCAAGAGTTATGCCTTATATTGTGGATTTTTGATATGATGGTTAAAAGTGTATTTTGAATTACTTTTTTAAACTTAAAGATTGCTAGTTGAAGTGCTGTGATTTTTGTTTTATGCAAATAAAACTGCTGAAACATCACACTTATCTTACAGTGCTTGATTTTGTTAGATTTTAATTCAAGGGATTCCTCGAAGTGCAGTATTTGAAGATGTAGAACGCGTCCTGACTGGCTGTGAATATGATTCATCCTCCGTCAATATTTTTTTAAGGTTAACGTCTATTATATTTTAAATTTGTTATATATTTGATGTTATGATTATATAGTCAAATAGAGAGCAAGTAGTGGTAAAACTGTTTCTTTGTGACTAAAAGATCATGTAAATAATCTTTTTGCAAATATGCAAGGATAAGGTTGCGTACAAAAATTGCTCTTATCCCACCCTCACTTGTCGAGTTGTCAGGGTTAACAGAAAGGAGTTTAATGGAAAGTGATTTTTATGTTTGATGTTATGATTCTCTCAAGTTGATAACTCTTGCTTGTTCCAGACCTGGCGCAGGTACAGATGCCATTAAAATGGCCACAGTACGTTTCCCTTCAAGGACTCAAGCAATGAATGCATTCATCACAAAGAATGGAACGATTTGCCAAAACAGTCGCATTTTGGTACAAGTTCTCCAGTAATACACGCCCATTCCTGGCACTAGTGTTATAGGAGAACTGTTACATTTATATTGTTATTTGTGATTTTGGATTTAGTTCCCTCTCTGGTTCAAAGTGACGCGAGAAAATGCTAAAACTCTTGCAAACTGGTTACATTTATTATATAAGAACACTTTGACCCATCTGAGTTCGGTAATCGATCAAGAGGTTACTGTCTTTTTTGGGAGCTATAGGAAATGCATTTCAAGTACATCAATTAGTAGGTATGAGAGGGCTAATGTTTCACATTATATTCCAATCATGTCTTGCTATAGTATTCGGTATAGTCAAGATTTTTTGATGACTTGAAAACGGATTATTAATTGAATGATAACGTAAATAGGTCTTACAAATTGCATTTATCAGTGCACCTTGGTGTATGCACACTCCCTCCGTGGCGTGAAACTTACATTTCAATCTCTATAGGTGTACAGACTAGTCCAGTTCTTTGAATAAATATGTAGTGTTGAAATTATTATCCTATATGAATTTGGTTGAAGACACCCTTCTAAAAAGCTGAAAAAGGAATAGTAAAGATATACAAAAGAATTATTTTGACATCTAATTTAAATGTAATTTAATAAATTTACATAAATCCACGTACATTTATTTTACTTTTTTATTTTTTTGTAAACACATTTATTTTATTTGTTTATGGAAAAAATATTTTTTCAGTCACCGGAGATAAAGTTATTTTCAATGAGCTTAAAATGACGTCGTTTTAAGATTATAAGATTAAAAAATTATAATGATAAAGACTAATATAACCTTGCAATATATTATAATTACAAAAATATTTTGATTTTCACCCTAAAACGACATTGTTTTGAACTCACGGAAGATAACTTTATCTCATTGAAGAAATTCTTTACCTTTGTTTATTACAAGAAGTAAATGATAATTATTTTTTAAAATACATTTTAAATATTAAAGTTTAAATAATAAAGTGATAGAATTAAACAAGTTCAAATAATTTAACAAATCAATCGAGACACGATTTAAAATTAGAATTAAAACGCATGGTACAGAAAAGAATTACGGGTATTTAGGAATTCCAAGGGCGAACGCAATACGGCTTTTTGTGGGTTTTTTCATTCTTAATGTCAAACGGAATAGAGGGTGAAAGGTAAGTAAAGCGTGGACATAAAACTTGGAGAATAAACAAAGGACCAAGCTACAAGACTATTGGTACTCGATGCATTTCTCTTTCTGAATCAAGCAAAATAGCAAATAATCAGGCATAAATAAAAAAGTGAAGTTTTGCAGATGTTTTCCAGCTGATCCTGATCATCAAACATGTTAGTAACCAACGTCACTAGGAAAATACTCCCTTTAAATCATGCTTTGTGCATGAGACCTTAAATTCTGAAAAAACTTGTCAGAGTTGCTCTAGCTTGCTCAGTTGCTCCAGTTGATTATTTTACATGTATTGGGTCGCACAAGGCACAATGTGAGCTGATTTAAATATAATAATAGTACCTAACTGAGCAAATGATATTGATTTAATTTCCTTCTTGAATACGTTATGTAATGTATAGAATAATTACGTTATCTGATTTTGACTACCCAAGCGATTCAGGTATTGTTAGTTTCCATTTAACTTAGAATATAGAGATTACTATATGAACAGCAGTCAGCAGGTATTAAGGTAAAGCTCTATCCGGTTGATTTTACTATTGTTTGATATGCTTTGTCTCCATACAATGATAACACATGCCACTACAGTGATAGGCTTCCAAATTGCTTATTCCATTGATCATAAGTGCCAAGTTCATTTGAAGAAACAGAAGGCCTCACCTCTTGCAGGGCATCCTCAAAATCCTACAATGTCAAAATCATTTTAAAATTTTAATCAAGCTGAGAATTTTTTTTGAAATTTCTAGGTTCTGCATGCAGCTTTATGCATACCTGAAGGGTTACTGACCGCATATCCTCCTTTTTCAACTTAGTAATTTCTATGCCTTGTCTTAAAGCCTCTCTGAGGGGACCCATAGAAGCATCCTTCACTAAGTTTTTCATGTCTGATCCCGAATAACCTAGGAAGAAAGTTACCAAGTGAAAGCAAAGTAAATCACAGAAACCAAGGAAAAGTTATTTCAATTAACAGTTAAAAATGCTATGCAGAAGATACTGTAATTAGCTTAAAAAAATGTTCATACCTTCCGTTAAGTTGCATATGATATCTATTTCCTCATTTGATAGCTTGAATAATCCATCCTTTTCTAAAAGGTTACGTACAATCCAAGCTCTTGCCTCTTCATGTCCAATATAAATAATTTAGTCACATGGTGCTAAAAGAGTTTGTAGAAAAAGATGGAGAATCATAATTATCACCTGAGGATGGTAGGGGAATATAAAGTCTTTTGGTAAGTCTCCTCCGTGCTGCTTCATCAAGCTCTTGGGGACGATTTGTTGCTCCTGTATAAATTTTACCCAAATTCTATAACAACAGTATGACAGCACTAGTTCATGTGATAAAGGCTTACTACCATCAAATTGAAAACCTAGGAAAGAAACTGTTGGCGTCAAAAACTCAAGTTAATTAGATCACAATCACCACAGTATATCTACTAACATGATATCTAGAACAAATTTATAACCAGATCAAAAACTGATTCCTGTTCATAAAATGAAGTGTTCATTCTATTGTACATCAGAGCAGACCGAAAAGACAACACCTATAATATTTACATCCAGAAGTATTCAAATATTTTAAATCATGTGTAGGGATGATGCCATTATTACTAGTATAATGTGAAGGGATGGTCCTTAAATCATCATGCACAATACGAAAAACCATTGAAAACAAGGAGAGGCTAGCTAAGTTTTCCTTCTTTTGAACACATAAAAGTATAGAAACAAGGACTCGAGAAGTATGGCAATGATCACATCATAGCCTTATATTTTGTGATTCATTGTCCTTGGTCTTGTGGATATAAAATGTAGGGGTTCAGATCTGTTGAGAACGAAGAAGGAGAGAATTATGAGAGAGAAAGGGATAGAGAGAGAAGTGTCCAACTTTTCATATTTTCTATTCACGCCACATCTGGCCATATAATCGTATCACGTACAACCATTCATGGATCTCTTTAGTTTTCTAATTACAACTGATATCAACGAGGTTAAACATTGAATGACTTAATGGGACTATTGGAAATAGTCCATTAAGTAATTGGGCTGCCTTTTCAGACGTATGAGCCTGTTTCGGTTTGAGCTAATTAGCTGGGATGCAACACTCCCTTGGCCTTCAAAACAGACATCGCCCACGATTGTGGATGGGCCAACGGAAGACTGGCCCAATTCCTGAGAACCCAGGGGACTGTGCTTTAAGGTGTCGGTGGAACCAACGGTCCGCGAAGGTGCTTGATAACTATCAACCACTAAAGGCTGATTGGACAGTGAGGGGATAAGAATCCCTGCGGCTTCATTCTGATTGGAGGAGAAGGCGGTGGCATTAATGACAAGTGAGCTGCCCAAGGTCTGAGTTAAAGACTTAACCTTTGGAATGTGATCTTTGTCATTCACCCGTTGTTCAGCTACGGAAGTTCCCTTAGCCAGCAAAGGTGGAGACTTTGAAAGTAGCCCTGTGGTCAACATAGCTTCATCCTCCCAAGTAGACTCCTCTGGGGAGAGACCGTGCCATTGAACCAAGACCCGAGGGGTGTGTTTACCTTGCTTCCAGACGGAGCGATGGGCTACAATGGCCACTGGAACGTGGCTTGGAGGAGTAACAGGAAGGTTCGAAGGGAGCTGATGCACTTGATAACGCGCAGAAGGTACAAATGGTCTCAAGAGTGAGACATGGAAAACTGGGTGCACTCGCGAACCCTCTGGAAGCTGGAGGCGATATGCAACACGGCCGATGCGCTCTGTAACTGCAAACGGACCATAAAAACGGAGGCTTAATTTATGGGAGGACCTGTGGCGAACGGACAATTGCCGGTACGGTTGCAGCCGAAGGAGCACCTGGTCACCCACCGTAAAGGTAAGGTCTTTTCGTCTTCGATCTGCTTGATTTTTCATTAAAGCCTGTGCTTTTCTTAAGTTCTGTTTTAATGATGCGAGGATCTGGGAACGCTGATGCAGATCTGAATCAATAGCCTCTATTGGAGTAGTACCAACAGTATATTCCAAGAGGCAAGGAGGAGGCCTGCCGTAGGTAGCTTGAAAAGGTGAAGTTCCAGCAGATAAGCTGTGTTATAGTGAAACTCAGCCCAACTGAGGAAGCGATGCCAAGCTGCTGGGTTGTCATGGACGAAGCATCGGAGGTATTGTTCTAAATTTCGATTCATTCTCTCTGTTTGCCCGTCTGTTTGAGGGTGATACGCCGAACTAAAATGAAGAACGGTCTCATAGAGCTGAAACAAGGTCTTCCAAAACTCACTGGTAAAAATGTCTGACACTATGGAGTTAGGGGGACCATGTAGTGTCCCCACCGTATCCCAAAAAATCAGGGCTACCTTAACCGCTGAGTACTTTGGTGGTAAAGCTGCAAAGTGAGCACCTTTGGTAAGTCTGTCTACCACTACCAAAATGTCAGTAAACCCATCGGAGTTGGGTAAATAGGTTATAAAATCCATGGACAACTCTGACCAAATGGTGTCGGGAATAGGAAGGGGTTGTAACAGACCATAGGGAAAATGGTTTGGGGCTTTGGTTTTCTGACATATATCACACTGTTGAATGAATTGTTGAACATCTCTTTTGATGTGTTTCCAGGTAAACTTGGCTCCCAAGCGAAGGAGGGTGCGGCGAATTCCTGCGTGACCACCCACTTTGGACGCATGAAATTCCTGGAGAAGTGATGGAATCAAAGAAGAACCGGTGGGAATGTACAGCCGGTTGCGGTGAAAAAGCAGTCCTTGATGGTGTTGCCAATGTGGCCATTTAGATGAATCTTTCTGTAAATCTTGTAGAATACCAATAGCATAGGGATCATTTTGTAAATCGGACTGTATAATCGGACTGTATTGAGATGTAGGGTAACTAATTGCCATGAACTCAGGGGAGGGGAACATAACATGCCCCTCAGGCTGTCGGGACAGAGCATCAGCCGTCACATTAAGCTTCCCTGGCTTATATTGAATCGAATAATTAAAACCCAATAGTTTCGCAAGAAACTGTTGTTGTTCAGGGGTTTGAATTACTTGAGACATCAAGTGATGCAAGCTTTTGTGGTCTGTCTTTATCACAAAAGACGTTCCCAGTAGATATTGACGCCACTTCGCAACAGCGGATGTGATGGCATACATCTCCCTGAAATAAGTAGATTTAGCTTGCATGTTTTTGGACAATTTGCGACTGAAATAGGCAATAGGATGGTTTCCCTGTAATAATACAACTCCAACACCTGCGCCGGAGGCATCCGTCTCCAAAATAAACGGAAGAGAGAAATTTGGTAGAGCTAAAATAGGTGCATGAATCAGTAGATTTTTGAGTGACGTAAAAGCCTGGTCTGCAGTTGTAGACCACCCAAAGGCATCAGTAGCCAACAAATCTGTGAGAGGGGCTGCTATTGAAGCATATCCCTTGATGAATCGACGATAATAGCCTGACAAGCCCAAAAAGGCCCGGAGTTGGGTGACCGACTGAGGAATGGGCCAATCCATGACAGCCTGTATCTTGGATGGATCAGGAGCCACACCCTTTGCGGAAATGATGTGACCAAGGAACTGAATTTCCTGCACAGCAAAGGAACATTTAGAGAATTTAGCAAAAAATTTATGATCACGAAGTTTTTGCAACACTTGCACCAAATGCTCAGGATGGGCCTGAAGTGATGGGCTATAGATAAGTATATCGTCAAAGAAGATCACAACAAATCTTCTCAAGAATTGAGTGAACACGTGGTTCATAGTAGCCTGAAAAGTCGAAGGGGCATTAGATAACCCAAATGGCATAACCAGAAATTTGAAATGGCCACTGTGAGTCCTGAAGGCAGTCTTATGGGCATCCTGTGGCTCCATCTTAATTTGGTGATAACCAGACCTTAGGTCCAGTTTAGAGAAAAATTGAGCCCCATGCAACTCATCTAGGAGTTCATCCACTGTAGGAATAGGAAACTTATCAGGTATAGTGGTGGCATTGAGAGCACGGTAATCAACGCAAAAGCGCCACGTGCCATCCTTTTTTCGAACCAATAGAACCGGAGAGCTGAAAGGAGAGTGACTAGGTTTTATTAACCCAGTATTTAGCATATCATTGACCATTCTCTCAATTTCTGTTTTTTGAAAATGGGGGTATCTATAAAGGCGAACCTGGACAGGTTTAGAGTTGGGAAGGAGGTTGATATGGTGATTGAAAGTGCGGTCAGGGGGAAAAGTGGTGATGGAATTAAAGACATCTTGAAATTGACGCAAAATGTGTTGTATCTGAGGTGAGTGGTCGACATTAGGTAATGAGGAGGGAGGGCTAGAGGTGGTACTAGTGAGACACATGAAACAAGAAGAAACAAAATTCTGGGTCATAAGTTTGTGCAATTGGGCAGTGGAAATTTGGGATGGAGATGGGTGTGTATCCCCATGGAGTAATATGGTAGAATCATTGTGGGTAAAGGACATAGTTAACTGAGAGTAATCTGTGACAATCGGTCCCAAGGTTGATAACCATTGAATGCCAAGCACTACATCTGCGCCCTTAAGTTCCAAAACAAACAAGTCCACAAAAAATGTGTTGGACTGCAGTAGCAAGGGTACTGCAATACATGAAGCAGTACATTGTAGAGTATCGCCATTTCCAACCTGCACCTGAAACGGATTAATCTGTTGCATTGTTAGGTTCAGAAAAATGGCCATACGTGCAGTTATAAAATTATGGGTATTGCCCCCATCTACAAGAATTTGCACGGATTTCCCTTTTATAGCCCCTTCTAGCCGAAAGGATCTGAAGTTGTGGTGGCCAAATAAGGCATTAAAACTAATTTCCGGAATTGTCTCAATAGGGCTGGGGATCTCCTGTGTTTCAGGAATCTCAGGACCTGGATCATCATCGGTCCCTTCGAAGTATAATAAAGCAGCTCGCCCCTTGCATTTATGGCCGAACGAGTATTGTTCATCACAATTGTAGCATAAGTTTTTCTCCCTCTTGGCCAACCTTTCCGCTTGGGATAAGCAGCGGATGGGTACCGTGGAAATGGGTGCAGAAGTGATAGGGTTGGGTAGAGGAACAGTGGGTAATGGATTTGTGTCTTTTTGAGGTGGGGGCCAAGGGCGAAACTGACGAGATGCAGTAGCCTGATCTTTATAAACACGGGCCAGTGAGAATGCTTCATGATAATCATGGGGTCTAAGGGTTAAGACCGAGCTGCGAATATGGGTTTTCAAGCCTGAAATAAAAATGCTGCGCAGAAGCGTAGCAGAAAGGCCAGGTACTTTACTGGCAAGTTTCTCAAAGGATGCTTGATATTCAAGGACAGAACCTGTCTGTTGAATTTTCACTAAGGAACCCGTCGGATCCTCAAACTCCGAAGGTCCAAAACGGCGGTGTAGAGCCGTACAAAAAGTGCGCCAATCAGTCATGAGCCCATTTTGGTCAGATCCGTAAAACCAACTAGCTGCTGGTTCAGTTAAATGAAATGCAGCAAGATTTAAACGATCTGGAAGTGGTACCTGATAAAACGTAAAATACCTTTCAACCGCGATAATCCAAGTAGTTGGATCTACAGAAGAAAAATGTGGAAAATCAAGCTTCACTTGACGGGATCTGGGATGATCTAAAGCTGCAGTAGAATTCCCATGGGGTGTAGATCCCAAAATGCCACGGTTGGCAGTAGTGAGGTCAAGCAGACGAGTAAGGTCTTGCTGAAAACGATTTTGGGAATCGTGCAATTGCTGTTGGGAATTATGGAGTTGAGTATGAGAATCGTGTAGATGAGTGTGTTGTTGTTCTCTGACTAATTCAGCAGCATGAAACTTTTGCTCCAAGGTTTCCAAGCGCTGATGGAGTTCCTTCATTCTGGTGTTGTCGGCCATGGATAGGGAGGAAGAGGTGGAATGAAAACACCAAATTGTAGGGGTTCAGATCTGTTGAGAACGAAGAAGGAGAAAATTATGAGAGAGAAAGGGATAGAGAGAGAAATAAGAGAGAGAAGTGTCCAACTTTTCATATTTTCTATTCACGCCACATTTGGCCATATAATCGTATCACGTACAACCATTCATGGATCTCTTTAGTTTTCTAATTACAACTGATATCAACGAGGTTAAACATTGAATGACTTAATGGGACTATTGGAAATAGTCCATTAAGTGATTGGGCTGCCTTTTCAGACGTATGAGCCTGTTTCGGTTTGAGCTAATTAGCTAGGATGCAACATAAAAACTGTCCTCATGCTCAAATGTGTCACTTGTCTTAGGTACTGAAACACATTTCAACTTTCAAAGATGAAATCAAAGATATTGTTTAACTAGGAGTCTAAGGCCATACATTATCTACCTATTATTAATATCACGAAAGAGATAAGTAGCGAACTAAAATTGGAGTGGAATAAAAAGAAAAGAAAAAACGGAATCTGACCCGGTGGCTCAATAATTACCTATAAGCAGGATTTGCTCGCTACCACTGTCAAAGCCTTCCATTTCAATTAGAAACTGCGTCTTTAGCCGCCTACTTGATTCATGCTCACCCTCTGACTTTCGCTGCAATAAGATATATGCATTGCATTAACTTGATAAGAGAGGAAAAAATATCATGTAGCCACAGACCCACAGTAAATTTTTCACTTAGTAAGATTGCATTTCATGAACTTTCTTAGAGATGATAATGCTATGGCTCAATTTAAAAATTTCCAAAAATGAGCAATAAATGTTTATGTTGCCTTTATTAGCCATAAATGAGCATACCTGAGACAGGAGCGAATCTATTTCATCAACAAAAATTACTGCTGGCTGACGGCAACTGGCAACTCCAAAAAGGGCTCTTACTAGCTTTTCACCTTCACCAATCTATAATTAGTAGTAGATATATTAGGTATTGAAAACGTGGTCCCTAGGATATTAGAATTCGACAAACCCAATTCATGAGTTGAGTAAGGTGCCCACGCAGTAAGAAGGAACAATTTTAATTAATTTTTGGGATTATGGTTACACGATCTAACTAAGACTGCAGAAAATCATCTAAGCTAATGTTTTAGAAAATTGCATAAGATATTTAAGTTTAAGAGAAATATATAAGCAAACCTTCAAAATAAACAGCTAAAACTTAAGCATATCCAACATACCCACTTGCTAGTCAACGAACTTGCTGATATGTAAAAGAAGGTTGCCTTTGCCTCCCCTGCTATGGCTTTTCCTATCATTGTTTTGCCAGTTCCCTATCATTCAAAGCATAAGACAGATTAAAGACCAGAGTCTTTGAAATCTAGATCATCAATAAGGGAAATTTTCACTTACCGGTGGACCAAATAGAAGCAGACCTCTTCCTGGGGAACGGCAGCCCTTAAATATGTCAGGACGTAGTAGAGGCCATATGACCATCTCAGTGACACATTTCTTGGCATGATCAAGTCCAGCTACAATATTATTAAACAATGAGTAGAGTATAATTAGTTTCATTAGTAAGCTAACCCCCAATGTGGTGAATAAAGAATAATGATGAAGAGCTATTTATATTACCAATGTCATCCCACCGGACATTGGGATCTCTGTCCATAATCTCGTTACTAACATGTTCAATGAGGCGAGGTTCCAAATTCCTCAATTTCTCAGGAAGCTCACCATCAGGACCACACAGGATTTCCAAACTACAAGCATGTGAAGCATATTAAGTGAATGCATATATCATCCAACCAATCATCAATCATTAGATCAACAAATTAAGGGGGAGAAAGGAAAGGATTTAAAGCGGTGAATGTCCGGTCCCATAGTCCCCGCAATTAAAAGTAATAATTGAAAGCTGGATTCACTCTTGTTAATGTTCACATGAGGAACGAAGGAAATCATTACAAGGTTAATACGTATATAACAAGGCGCACAGACTAGTGTAGCAATTTAAGTTAAAGGGTTGATCCCCACCATTAGATGAGAGTAGATTGTAAGATTAAAACACTTTTGAGACGCCGTCTATAAATAATTGTGAAAGAATATTGTCATTTGGACGTTGGAATGTAGAAAAAGAATATATTTGAGACTTGGTGCAAATGGGAAGCAAGAAATAAGAATGTAAAGGCTAATATGATGGTCATGCATTACTGACCATCTCTTTGTAGAGTCATCTAAGGCATCATCAGACTTTCCAGCAATCCGTGAACTCATGTTTCCAGCATTGTTCCCATTGGATTTAATAGGGGGAACAAAATTACCACGAAAGCCACGACGTGAAACACCATATGATCTCCCACCATATAACCTGTTGCCAGGATTGTAATCGCATTGTGGTGAGACAGATGCACTGGGTGAACCAACTACTCCTCGCTTTTGCTTTGCTTCCATTTCCTGCCAAAATAAGATGGTGTCATCAACTTGGCTACATGCCAAGAAATTACTTCAAGAAAAGAGGAGGAAAAATCTGTAGAAGTTTGCTCATATAAAGTGTTTCCTTTCTCTGGCTAGAATGTTTGTTTGATAACCATTCAATAATAGTGAGTTTGCTCTTTTCCTTTTAAGGATATTTCTTTATAAACAACGGATGTTTAAGTTTCATCCAGAAAGTATATCATTCTTTTTGGGAGAATAATGTGCACATAAAGAAAATCAGTGCATTAAAGAAAGAGAAATGCAATATTTGCACCAAATTTGACAGAATAAAACGTAAATGCTTAAAATTGTAAAACTGGAAACACATTGACAGAAAAAAGGAGAAAGTTGACGAATACGCTAAAATGATTATACCAGTTTTGCTCTGGCAGTAACGAACCCGTTGCCACAAACATCAGAATTAACTTCCTCCTTACTTGAAGGTGACTTTGCATAACCAACTTTGGGGCTATTATTTTCCATGTGTAAGCGTTTTGTAGAAAAAGAGTTTCCAAAAGCTCTTTCTTCCCCTTCAACTTGTAAGAAAGAAGAGACACCAGGACCCTTCGTATGGCTGGCATGTGACTGAGCCCTTTCAACAATCATGCAGTCCTCGGAGATGTTACTTTTCAAGTTGAAAAAACTCTTGGAACCATTACTAGTCTTCAAGCTGCTTTTCCCGTACATGGATGTCAACTTTGCTTGCAGAATTTCCTTCGACGCTTTGCTTCCTGCTTTGTCTTGCTTACCCAGTTGATCATCCTAAAATAGGAAAATTAAAAAAAAAAAAAAATCACAAATTTTTCCCTCAACAATCTGGAGGAACAAAAATAAAACTAAATGAAAGGACAAATCCTACAAGGCTCTCAAATTTTGCAAGGGTAGAGGTGAAGATCCATAGCACGCAATTTGAGCTTGTATTTTTGCAAAGAGGCTATTTCCTATATGCGAACCTGTGACTTTTTAGTCACAAAGGAACAATCTTATAGATGCTCCAAGACTCACCCTAAAAAATAAAAGTAAGCAAAAAGAGTTTAATTACAGTATGATTGTCAGCATGTCTTACCAATTGATTTTCATCTTTTTCTTTAGATTGCTTGAAAAGAGCTCGAAAGTACTTTGAATTCCGAATCTTCTCAATGTCAATATCTCCTGTGGTGCCAAAAACGCATCCTGGAGACTTCTTTGCTTGCTCAAAAGCTTGGCTAAGGAAATAGAGAGGAACCAAAATGCTGAGAAACATGGCAACAGCCAGATAAAATTGAGAGAGAAATTTGCCAGAGGAAACTTGTATTAATCGAACCAGTAAAATTTGAGTTAAACATAGCATCACAACTCTCAATTTAACCAAGACTAGTTCCCACCACTTTAACTTACCCAACAACTACTCTAGAATATTGGCAAATTCTGACACATAATTTTTAAATTTTTTCCTTACTACTAAACATTAAAAGTTCAGCCTGCAACCAGCTCAGCTGGTAGCAAGGGAGCTAAGTAAATGAAAAGGAAAAGGCCTCGGTTCGATCCCCACATGTCACATTTGAAAGGGATTTAAATATCTTCATCCCTGACCCACTTCACACTCCGGATTAGTCTCATGGCCGGCTCAAAGAGTCAAAGCTTGTGGGGATACCAAGGGAAGCCAACTCGTCTCAAAGAGATAATTAGAGTTAGGTTAACTACAAAAAAATAAAGTTTAGCCTGCATGCTATGCGCAAGATTTAAGGAAATTTCAAACCCTTACCTAACATTTATAAGAGCAATGTTAGAACTGAGCTCTAAGAACACAAAGTAAAAATGAAAACTGGTTTATTTCTCTGCATAACCTTCACTCAATAATGTGTCCTCCTATTATATAACATCATTATTCATATCCCCTTAACGACCCTTCCAACTGAATACAACAAAATCCATTATCAACTTGATTAATGTCTGACTTCTAACTAACTATTATGGTTACACAGCATTCTAACATCCCTAACTAACTTCAACTGAACCTGTGTCTCGATACTAGCCCAGGAGATGCTAGAAATAACTCATGTGATTGTTGGTCTATTAGTGGGATGAGCAAAGCCCAAAAATATAGCAGTTATACTATTGCCATGTTATTTTCCTTGTTATTATCCTATTATCATATTATTCGCCTTGTTAGTTTTCTGTTGCAACTACCCTAGTGGTATACATATTGTAGAGTCAGCAGTAATGAAAATTATCAGAAAAGTTTGCCAAAACTCTCTTCTCTCTTCAATTTCTCTTCCCATCCCTTTTCTCTCTCCTCCTTTCTTCCTCTATTAGTCTGTGTTTCTGTAGCATCCGCTACAATGGTGCTTTCATCTTCGATCTCATCATCCTTGTCTCCACAACATAATCCCAATCTCCAATCTAATTTTCAAACTCTCAATCAATCCTTAATCAACCTTACTGTTGAGCTCTCCGCTGCACTTAATCAACCTGCATGTATGTGGCACAACTCCTCATCACTCATCCTAACAGACCGTAACAGAAGCTGATTACATAAATCGAACCATGAACTCTCAGAGTCACATCACGATAACACCAACAACTCTTCTAACTACTTAGAATTACTCAAGAAAAATAAAAATAGCATCAAATTCAAAAACAAATCATTCCAATGCTCTCTCTATTCTGTTATCAAAAGTATGACCAAGGCATCACCGAATTTTTTTTAAAAAATTAAAAAAAAAGAGTGAAAGAAAGAGAAAACAATTACACACCGATCAGATTGAGGAGTGAGGGATCGGCGAGCGGAATGGAGCTTGGCGAGGGCCTCGCGGCGAATCGGTTGGACGAAGGCTTCGTCGACGTCGGAGCAGCGCCGCGATTCGAGGAATCCGAGGAGACGAAGCGTGAGTACGTAAGCGGAGGAGAAGTCATTGTTATCGAGAGCGTGTTCCGCGCCGAAGAGAAGAGAGTGGAGCCTCTTGAGGTTCTCGTCAACCTCCATTCTCCAACACTTTTCCTTCACTTCCTCCATTCTCTCTCTCTCTCTCTCTCTCAGCAACAACAACGAAGAAGAAGAAACTAAAATGAAATGGCACAATTTTTTGCGTTTTGATTCGATTTGATTTCATAAACTCCTCTACTCTCCCGCCATTTTTCCTCTTTCTCGCGCGGGACATTTTTGTAAATTACGCATATTAATATTAGTTAATACAATGTTATTAAATCCGGACCGGTTATTGATCCGGTCGAGGTACTGGGTCAACCAGTAGGTCACTGATTCAATCGCATAGCCCGGTAAATATATGTAAATCTACAATTTATATTAAAAAAAAACTATAAATATAGTTAAATACTTGTAAAAAAAATATCAATTTCAAATATTTTAATATGAAAATAATAAATTATAGATCATTGTCCAACAAAAGATCAATCAAACATATAATATTTGTGATACTAGTGTTTCAGGTTCAGTAAACGGCATCTCTAACTATAAATCAAATCAAAATTCCCTGCATATTGCATAATCAAGATAATATTAGTGTTGTAGATACATAATCATGTAAGTTAATAAACTACAAATCACTCAAATATTTCAAAAGAAAACAAATCATTTGTGTTTGAGAGTAAAAAAAAAAAAAGACATTAATTTATGAAAATAAATTAGTTTTTTTTATATAGATCGGGCCGGATCACCGATTTTTACGAAAACCGGCCGAGTCGCACCAGGTCACACCGATTCTGTAACATGGTCGGTCCAATATGAAAACCGAACCGATTACATGACCGGTCCACCGATTTTCGGGTCGACCCGACCGGATCGATCCGTTCTTATAACATTGAGTTAATATATAATTTTGTCCTTGTTTTATATGTTAGCTAAATTCTTACTTCAAAAAAAGCTAAATTTTTCTGAAAAGAATAATTGGAAATAATTAGTTCAATAATTAACGATAAAATTTAATTTTAACTCTTTATTAACGTAAGACTGATACTTAAATGTATGAAATGTGTCACATCCTTCCCTGGTGGTTTCTCCTCCAGCTAAATTATATAGAAATCAAGGACTTTTTGACCGTAAAATTTCAAACATTTCGTCCATTTAATTTTTTCAACAAACTATTTATTAATCTAATAAGAATCAAATGCCCCAAGGAATGGTGAGTGCTAAGTCGCACATCACCCCACACACAAATTATGCAAAAGCCAACTTGCTCCTACCACGTTTCGGGTTTTGCGAGATGTGCATTAGGGCTAGCACGACTTAAACATGCACTATCGGGATACGGTCTTACAGAATGCAACATGTGGCAAATGTACACTAATTTTTACACAAATCATGCAAAGAAAATGTTCCCAACTTGAACATGAATTATCAAGATATGTGTCTTTTCACATTAAATTGATAAATTATTTGTCAAAAACATTAAAGGCTTTAATATTTTTACGGTGAATATAGATAAGTTATCTACATTCGCTCTCAAAACGACGTTGTTTTGGGTTGAAAAATTAAAAAATTATAATGAAAAAGACTATTATAACCCTGAAATAAATTATAATTACAAAAATATCTTGATTTCCACATTAAAATGACATCGTTTTGGGTTCAATATAGATAAGTTATATATTAACTGTGAAAAAAAAAATTGAACCCAAAATTAAATGGATGAAATGTTTGAAATTTTGCCTTAGATGTATCAAAAAGCCCAAAATAAGTGACGAACATTTTTTATTATTATTTAATGATATTATTACAATAAAACTAATATGAGAAAACGAAAGTTTGAAAAAATAAAATTGCACTTTGAAAAGAGAAAATTGCACTTCCCAACTTGGAGATTCCGTTCCTTAATTACCTTTTGCTTGTTTTTATGAGTAAATACGTATAATAATTAGTCATTGATATTCAATTGTGTATCATTTAACTAAAATTAATATAAAAAAAATAACTTACTATATTTTATATTATAAAAGATCTAGTAATATATTAAGCAATATTAATTTTATTTTTAATGATCTAAACACTAATAACTAAGAGGCTTTAATACGCTGACGAAACGGGATACTAAAGAACCATCGATAAGTCAAAAAAATAATCACAAAACCCCCCACGTGCTTCAAAAAGTAATAGATGCTTTCTTAATACACGACAATAAATGCTTTGAAATTTAATATACTTTATGACTTATGTCATGAAGAAAACTAGCCAAGAAAAAATAAAGCACTACTCTTTGAAGTTGAGCGAAAGTGTAGGAAGAAATGAGGCTGATATTTACATGTAAAAAACTATTGATATAGCATTACTAATATACTCATAATTGAACAAGTAACAGTCCAAAAGGTAATGCCAACAAAAGCTACGTGGATTAAATAAGACAGTCATGGCATGCAACATTCATTTTCTCTTCACCTATGCTGTCATAAGACAACTAAAGATAGTAAGATACTGTACACCAATCAATTCTTCCCAATACAAATTTTTCATGATGTAAAGCATTTTGCAAGGACAGGAGAACTGTGAGGTAACCAAAGAATCCACAAAAGTGGACTACAACTAGAGAAACGCGTAACTATGGCACCATTTTTTGCCTACAACTGCAACTTTTGTGCTCTCACAAACCATACAAGATATTGCATTACTATGGAGCAACATTCCTTCCCGCCAATAATACAGCATGGAAGTTGAAAAACTAGCTACTTCAGAAATTTCCATAATATGTATTAAAATGCATCGCCAAAAGGGATGAATGATTTAAAGGAGCCCTGGCACTGCTGGTGTCATGTGCTTCCTGGAGCATCACTTCCTGCAGCTGGTTTGCGATTCAAATAACGAATAACAGCATCTTCAACCCTGTTCAAGTTGTTAAACAAGATATAAAATTTCATGGTGAATTGTAACATTTACATAACATTGAAGTAAAAGCATATGAACCCAATTCTAGTCTACTTTTACCTAGTACATGTACATGAACAAAAGGAAAGAAAGCATATCACACATTTTTAGTCATTTGAAATGAAATGAAATGAAATGAAATCTCCCGTGGCCATATGGGATGAAGGTATGTGTATAAAACCAACTAACATACAGTCCCAGTTATATCATACCTTACTCTCAACTAAGGCAATATATGTAAGGGAACTACTATCAATCACTAAACTATAAAGCTAGATTCTAAATTCTTGTTGTCTTCAGGTCAATCATAACAAAGTCCAACAGATGGTAATGGATTAATTTGCAACTAAAGAAGGTAGCATAAAGCGGAGAGAACAAAAAAACAAAATAGAAGACAAAAAGCTAAGCAAGAGATAACTCTCAAAGCTTACCATGGTTGATTGAAAAAATCTGATCGACGCTCTTTTTCAGCACTACGACTAGATTCTCCAGCTACAAGTTTCAGATCCCTGCTTTGAGATTCAATCAAGGCATTAATAAATTCTACTGGAGATTGACTGAAACCAAGAAAAAATGCCCGTCTCCTACGGTGCTCATGGATTTTTCTAATGATTCCACATATAGCTTCATCCAATGTTTCAATCTCTTTGTTCTTCTCCACATTAGCCAATAATACAGACAACTCCCTCTGAATAGGAAAAGGAACATCAACTGTTACATCATAACAAGCAGTACCAACTGGACTATTTCCTGAGAGCTTGATCTTGTGCTCCAAAAGTATAGGTTGCGGAGGGAACAAATGCTGTGATATTTTCTGTGAAACCATTGTGAACTTCATCTTTTCTTCCCCAAATACTTTCTGAAGAGGCTGATCACAGTGAAAGAAAGAAGGGTCGTTTGGGTTTTGCAATTTTCTGGCCTTCACATAGTGCCAGATTGCAGCAATAATTCTTGGGCGGGTATCAACCTCAATACCAAGAACTTCTGTCAATGCTGGTGAAAGCTTAAACTTCTCAGGTACATAATTCATTTCCAGCCGTATATTCACTGTAAATTCTTTATCCCCTTTCCTCTTTACTTCAAAACCTTCCTGAGGAGCAGGTGATCGAACATTCTCCCACATAATAATGTGATTATCGGGATAGAGTCTCTGATCCAAACCAATGGTTACTCTTTTGAAGAAAGCTGAGAACTTTGGATACAACGAAGATGACTTCTGAGCTACTCCAGGCTGATCAGGGTCTACACCATCTTCCAATATCCTCCCAACTATCTTCAGTGTCCAGGTTGGAGGCTCAGCATTTGGCTTCTTAGGAATTGTGCGAATTTGATTAGCAAAAGTGTTAAACACATATATGCGAAGAGTTTTCTGAATACACGGTGGGTTTTTGAGAGCTTCTTGGATATCAACCTTCTTTCTAGCAAGGGCAGCATCAACACGAGACTCAAACTCAAGAAGCTGGGTGTACAAAGCTGACTCAGGCAGGATAGCAGCCACTTTATCCTGTAGCTGTTTCTCAGGGAGCTTCTGCTTCTTCCTCCGTGCAGCTGGCGTGAGTTCCATTGGTCTCAAAGGCGAGAAGTTGTTCGGAGGGGAAAATCCGGAAGGGCGAATAGGGGGTTTCAAAGGGATCCTCTTTCCACTCGCATTGCCGGGCGTCGAGCCCAACTGCGACGGAGACACCCCCAAATTCCCCAAACCACCAGACTGATTCGGATTAAGAGTCAACCCTTGAGCTTGCAAATGAGCCTGGAGTTGAGCATGAGCTGCTGCTTGAGCATGAGCCTGAGCCTGAGCCTGAGCCTTAGACTGTGCTTGGGCAATAGCATGTGCTTGGGACAGTGGAAACTGGCCTTGAAAACCAGCAGCAAGCTGGGCTTGAGCTTGGGACTGTGAAAACCCAGGGTTTGAAGGGGAGGGTATTCCAGCATTGCCAAAGGATGAGGAAGGGGCCCCAATGCCCTTAGAAGGGTTATTATTGTTCACAGACATCACTATCCAAACCTAATCAACTAGTCAACCAAAAGGGGCAAAAAAAGAAAAGAAAAATCTTCAAGACCCAAATGAAAAAATCTTAACTTTAACTATTAATCTAAACCAGTGAACCAAGTGAGGGCATACCCAACAATTTCAAGTGTCCAAATCATAACTTGCACAAATCACCACCAACTCTGAATTTGCATTCCCCAAAAAGAAAAACAGAAGAACACAACAAAACCACTGAATCTGATTCTGAATCGAGTAGGGTTTACCTCGATCTGAGCCTTAGGAGGATCCACTGTGGGCAGGTAGAAGAAAACACGGTGATCTTCAGGTACATAGAGTTGTGGGTTTCGGATTCAGTGTGTGTGTGTGTGAGAGAGAGAGAGAGGGAGAGTGGTTCAACGCAGCTTCAATGGGTGCAAATTGAGGAAAGAGAAGAGAATAGAGGTGAATTGAAGAATGGAGTGAAGGTTGAGAGAGATTGAGGTTGGTTCTTCTCCGGAAGGTTTATGTCGTGATGGCGGTGATGGGTACCTAGGGTTAGGAAAATGGCCCAATTTTGGGAGGTCTAACGCTTTCCGTAAAAACGGTGTCGTTTATGCCAAGCAAATTTTGAATGTTGAGTGTTAAATCATCCTCGTTTTACCTCATTTTTGTCTTTTTTTTAATAACCCAGATATATTTTATTTTTAAAAAATATTGAGAGACCAGGAGGAAAAAATAAAAAAATAACATTGAGAATTGAGAGAGCTTTCCTGATTTAAAAGGAAATTTTGAACTTTTAAGAATTGGTTTAGAAAAATAAAAGGCCCGTGATAGTTAGGAGTGTAAATAAGTTAAGATAGGCTAGACTTTACCTTAAATAGATTAGATTTGTGTAAAAAATATTATGTCTCGTTTGGCTTTTTAATCTTTTGTAAGCTTAAATTATAAGTCTGATCTGACCTATATTTAAAAAATAAAAATTTTTGCCCTAAGTATGTTAGACTGTTTAAGCCTATTAAATATTCTATAATTAAAAAAATAAATAAAATAATACTACTTTATTATTTAAAATTATTAAAATAACAATTTTATTTATTTTATTTAAAATAAATAATATAATATAGGTCGGCCAGTGAACTTTAGTGTTATGACATATACTTCGCATGTTAATGAGGGCCCTTATTGTCAAGGTCAGCAGAATGGCAACTGAGGTCCCGTAGAGGCTAGATACTGTTGTGAGCCTATGATTTATTGTAATGTTCCCTTCTCTTAGTAGTTTGGGTTTGGGTCCATGAATAACTGTTGTTAAGATTTTTTAATTCTATTTATATTCTCCTTGAAAATTGAGTGACTTAAACGAGTGGCGTTGAGGTGAATATAATACACACAAGCTGGACGTAGCCTAACATTGTGTGAACATGGTAAATCACTATGTCAATTCTCTTTCTCTTTTCGTTTGTGATTTGTGTATGATTGTTGATTTTCAATATGTAGGTCTGATATGTACAAAAAAGCTATGACCTACTTTCTAAATAGTTTTTTTTTTTTTAAATCCAGGCATGTTTTATTTGATTATTTATAATAGGTTAAACCTGACCTAATATAGGCTAAGTCGTAGGTCCCTGTAAATCGACCTAACCTATTTACACCCCTAGTGAATAGTGATAGCTTGACTTTGATGAAATTAGAGAATGCATGTAAGTTAGGTTAGATATCACTTGACCGTAACAAGAAAAAATGGCAGGTTCATTTGTCATAATTTTGAATTATGACTCTTGATTTCTTTGATTTTTTTTTTCTTTTCAAGTGATATTCCCAAATTGGCTTAATCCATTTACGAGGATTAATTCTCCTGTGTACTGTTACAGGATCTGAACCTAAATAACGAACGCAAAAATATGCTTGCTTGATCACAAAATTAATCTCATTAGATTACAGATTTTCTTGAATTAAATTTCATATTAATCCAAAAGCTAGCCAAACTATATGGTATAAACTTTTTTTATATATTAGAGGGCAAAACACCTAAACTGAAAATCAAACACAAAAGAAAACAAAAGAAACTCAAAACTACTTTGACCTCATATAATGTTTCTGATATCTACTTCAACCTCTCCAATCTACTAAAAGATGGTTATTTAGTTGTAGAGGAGCAACATTGTAGGTGTTGAATCTTCTTTCCATACATGTTGGCAAGCCAATAAACACAATTGTTGACCTCTCTAAACACATGGTTCAGTAGGGTAGTCCAATACCTTCTCAACCAATATATCATATGTGATTTGGGGTTGACCTCGGAAGAATTGATGATGTAAGTGGCATTAGTCAACTTATCACTTTCAATGATCAAGCATTTAGCTTCTAAGGATCAACAAAGCTCCAACCCCTTGACTAGTCCCCAAGCCTTTGTGTGTTGGAAATCGACACACGCGCAAATCGAAAAATAAAAAGAGAAAGAGAAGAGAGAAATCAACATAGATATTTATCCTGATTCATCTCATATAGACTACGTTCAGCTTGTCTGTACTATATTCATATCACTGTCACTCGTTACAAGTCACTCAGTTTAGAAGAAAATATAAATAGAATTTAGAAAACCATAACAGAAGCTATTTATTGGCTCAAGCCCAAACTACTTAGTAAAAAAAAATTACAATATGTTAGAGGCCCACAACAATATCAGGCTTTTACGAACCCATGTCCGGGTATTTCCCCTGGACCCCCGCCCGCTCACTAGTTGCCTTTATGTTGTCCCTGCTAACAAAGGCCATTATCAGAATGCAAAGTATGAACCGTACCCAACACTGTGATGTACACAACCTATGCGATAAAGTGAACCAACAACCTAAGATCCAGAATTGTCTTCAATCAAGCCTCCACATCCAACAATATTATCCTTGCGTGAATAAGCTTCATACCTTATTCGGGGGAGTTAAAAAGTTCCTACTTAAAGTAGTATTAATGGAATTTTGATATTGGTCCTCCAATATACCTCCATCTCTAATGTTGTGAATATAATCAAGGTGCTTATCTATTTTGAAGCCAGACACTTGGGTAATCGCATAGGCCTTGTCTAATGGAGTATTTCTAGAAAAATATATAGGTGATTTAATACCATTCGTCTTGTAACCTCACATAACAAAAAGGTCATCCACAAATAAAACAAGGTCATCTGCAATGAGAAATGAAAAAAAACAAGATTAGAGATATAGTTGACTACTGTTATGATATATCTGGATACATGTTGTAGCATATTTGAATACGAGGATGCTTGGATATTAATGGTTCCATAACCTGGTATGTTCTCGACAAATACTCAAATATGTAATGTCCATAAACGGTTATAAACGATTCTTTTTTTGTTGGAAACCCATTTATGATGGCTATAAAGCAATTAGAACACTATTTTTTTTATATAGTATAATAAGAACACTATTTGATCATATATTATGCCTATATTGAAAGAATTCAATGCAATTAACCTCATTATTACATATTATTGATCGTTTGATTCTTTGAGTTCATTCTTCATGAAAATTAATACCCATTAGCTCTTTAACTTGTATATCTACACTTAGAGAGCATGAATCATTTCCTAAACACAATTCCAAATTACATTTGTTGAGTAAGAGTAATGAGACCCTTAATAGTTGAGAGGTAGCATATCCATCTAGGAAAGTTTGGGAAGACTTGTGAATATTATAGCCAAATACCCGTGAATTTGGTTGAAGTTGTAAAGTTGCTAGGTACCCAAAAAAATTTATGGTTATAACAATTTATCAAAATCTCATTGATGTTTTGTGAAATAATGAAAAATTATTGAGTTGTTGCAATCTGGACATGGGACACAAGTGGTGGTGGCCAAGCTAAGATAAATAGTATTTGCATTCTTCTAAACCTTTTACTCTATTTAGTGACATTTTATTTACTTCTTATATATTTTGTATGTGCTAGTGTAGATTGTTTAACTATTAAAATTGTATACCGTGAATTGTTTGAATATACTAATAATTTTCCATATATTAAAGTTTGCTTGAAATATTAATTTAGAAACAAGAAAATGGATTTCTATCACCCCCGTATTGACTATAGAAACCACATTCCTAACATGTTTAAGCTGACCATTTGGATTTGTGGTTAAATTTTTTCAATGATATTAGTAATTTCAAACAAAACCAGCGTTTTTGTAAATACCTATACGTATAACTTGACTTTAAGTTATGTAATTGATTTCATTGTTTTTGTTGGGATAATTTTTTACTCTCAAATTATTGATAACAATTTTTTTGATTTAACTACAAAACAAATTCCATGATTTTTACTCCACACATTAAGGGCTTTTTCACTTTACAATTTTGTGTGTGTTACTGATATTTGATTCTTGCATAATTTTATTTTTGAAATCTCTATATTTCCAATTTCCAATCATTTCCTACCAAAGCAATTAGAATGGAATTTTGTCTTAACTTTTTTCGATACTCTCTTTTTTTTCCTTATTTCTCTCTATCAATCCATTCTTTCACTTTCACTTTTTTCTTTTTTCCCTCTTCTCACCTTTTTCTTTTCTCTCAATCTCATGTTATTTTGTCTCTTTTCAATATCTTGTTTTAATTCTTTTCTTCTCTTAAATCTTAGACTTACCCTCCTTTTTTTCTTCTTCTTATTTTAAACTTAATACATATTATAATAAATATCTTAATGAAAATATAAATAATACACTTCGTGTCTACTCAATGTAATAGGATTACATATATTCAATTCTAATTTTTATCATTGATCCATTTGTTTTTTGGAATTCATATCTATTGTGATTTTCTCACTCGTTTTTGATAAAGTAAGGCAATGTATAGGGGTGTAAATGAGTTAAGCCGGCTTGCAGGGGCCTACGATCTAGCCTACATTAGGCCAGACTTAGCCAACTACAAATAGTCAAATTAAACAGGCCTAGACTTTTAAAAAAACCTATTTAGAAAATAGGTCATAGGCTTTTTTTTTACATGTCGGGTCTATAAGCCTATAGGCCGGCCTATATTATATTATTTATTTTAAATAAAATAAATAAAATTATTGTTTTAATAATTTTGAATAATAAAGTAATATTATTTTAGTTATTTTTTAATTATTGAATGTTTAATAGGCTTAAACAGGCTAATAGGTCTATGCCAAGAATTTTATTTTTTAAATACAGTTCAGGCAAGACTTGTTATCTGGGTCTACACAGGCTAAAAGGTCAGGTCAGGCCAGTCCTAAGGGTTTTTATACAGGTTTAGCCTATTTAAGTCAAAGCCTAACCTATTTACACCCCTAGATGTATATGACATTTTTTCTTATCTTTAATAATTTTTATTTATAGTCTCCCATCGAACATTTAGGCTTTGTTTGGAAGTTTAGAGGGGAAGGGAAGGAAAGGGATCCAAGGGGGAGGGAGGGGAAGGAAGGGGAAGAAATTGAAAGGTATTCTCTTCTCTTGTTTGGGAGTTAAAAAAATGATAAGGGAGTAAAATGGAGAATTAATGAGATATTTTTACCATTTGACCCTTTCTTTAAAAATAAATATAATTATTATATTTTACAAATTAAATA